TAAGAGGGAAATTTATAGCAATGAAGGTCTGCCTCAATAAATAAGAAAAATCTCAAATAAATAATCTTAAACTATACCTAGAACTAGAAAAAGAACAAACAAAGCCCAAGGTCAGCAGAGGGAGGGAAATAATAAAAATTAGAGGAGAAATAAATGAAATAGAGACTAAAAAAACAATAGAAGGATCAATGAAACTAAGAGCTGCTTCTTTGAGAAGATAAAATTGACAAACCCTTAACCAGACTCACTAAGAAAAGAAGAGAACAGGCACAAATAAATAAAATTAGAAATGAAAGAGGAGAAATCACAACAGATACCACAGAAATACAAAGGATTATAAGAGAATACTGTGAAAAACTATATGCCAACTAATTGGATAACCTAGAAGAAATGGATAAATTCTTAGACTCATACAACCTCCCAAAACTGAATCAAGAAGAAACAGAGAATCTGAGTAGACCAATCACAAGTAAAGAGATGGAAACAGCAATCAAAACCCTCCCAAAAGGGCCGGCCCTATGGCTTAGCGGTTAAACGCGCGCGCTTCGCTACTGGTGGCCCAGGTTCGGATCCCGGGCGCGCACCGAGGCACTGCTTGTCTGGCCATGCTGAGGCCGCATCCCACATACAGCAACTAGAAGGATGTGCAACTATGACATACAACTATCTACTGGGGCTTTGGGGATAAGAAAAAAAAAAAGGAAGAGGATTGGCAATAGATGTTAGCTCAGAGCTGGTCTTCTTCAGCAAAAAGAGGAGGATTAGCATGGATGTTAGCTCAGGGCTGATCTTCCTCACAAATAAATAAATAAATAAATAAATGAAAAGATTAAAAAAAAAAAAAAGCCTCCCAAAAAACAAAAGTCCAGCATCAGAAGGCTTCTCTGGAGAATTCTACCAAACATTCAAAGAAGAGTTAATACCTATCCTTCTCAAACTATCCCGAAAAACTGAAGAAGACGAAACATATCCTAACTCATTCTATGAGGCCAGCATTACCCTGATACCAAAGCCAGACAAAGACAATACGAAGAAGGAAAGTTACAGGCCGATATCGCTGATGAACATAGATGCAAAAATCCCCAACAACATATTGGCAAACCAAATACAGCAGTACATTAAAAAGATCATACACCATGATCAAGTGGGATTTATTCCAGGGATGCGGGGATAGTTCAACACCCACAAATCAATCAATGTGATACACCACATTAACAAAATTAGGAATAAAAAATCACATGATCATCTCAATAGAGGCAAAGAAAGCATTTGAAAGATCCAACATCCATTTATGATAAAAACCTTAAATAACATGGGCATAGAAGGAAAGTATCTCAACATAATAAAGGCCGTATATGACAAACTGACAGCCATCATCATACTTAATGGTGAAAAACTAAAAGCCATCCCTCTGAGAACAGGAACAAGACAAGGGTGCCCACTCGCTACTCTATTCAACATAGTACTGGAGATTTTGGCCAGAGCAATTAGGCAAGATAAAGAAATAAAAGGTATCCACATCGGAAAGGAAGAAGTAAAACTCATTGTTTGCGGATGACATGATTCTTTATGTAGAAAACCCCAAAGAATCCACCAGAAAACTATTAGACACAATCAACATCTACAGCAAAGTTGCAGGGTACAAAATCAACCTACAAAAATCAGTTGCATTTCTATAACGAACTAGCAAAAAGAGAAGTCAAGAATACAATCCCATTTACATTCGCAACAAAAAGAATAAAATTCTAGGAATGAATTTAACCAAGGAGGTGAAAAACCTGTATACTGAAAACTATAACACATTATTGAAAGAAGTCAAAGAAGACATAAAGAAATGGAAAGATATTTGACACTCATGGATTGGAAGAATAAACATAGTTAAAATGTCCATGTTACCTAAAGCAGTTTACAGATTAAATGCAATCCCAATCAGAATTCCAATGACATTCTTCATGGAAATAGAACAAAGAATCCTAAAATTTATATTGAACAACAAAAGACTCCGTATAGCCAAAGCAATCCTGAGAAAAAACAACAAAGCTGGAGACATCACAATCCCCAACTTCAAAATGTACTACAAAGCTATAGTAATCAAAGCAGCATGGTACTGGCACAAAAACAGACACACAGATCAATGGAATAGAATCAAAAGCCCAGAAATAAAACCACACATCTATGGATAGCTAGTCTTCGACAAAGTTGCCAAGAACATACAATGGAGAAAGGAAAGTCTCTTCAATAAATGATGTTGGGAAAACTGGACAGCCACATTCAAATGAATGAAAGTAGACCATTATCTTATACCATACACAAAAATTAGCTCAAAATGGATTAAAGACTTGAAGGTAAGACCTGAAACCATAAAACTCCTAGAAGAAAATATAGGCAATACACTCTTTGACATCAGTCTTAGCAGCATCTTTTCAAATACCATATCTACTCAGGCAAGGGAAACAAAAGAAAAAATAACCAAATGGGACTACGTCAGACTAAAAAGCTTCTGCAAGGCAAAGGAAACCATCAACAAAACAAAAAGACAACCCACCAACTGGGAGAGAATATTTGCAAATCATATATCTGACAAGGGATTAACTTCCAAAATATATAAGCAACTGATACAACTCAACAACAAAGAAACAACCTGATCAAAAAATGGGCAGAGGATATGAACAGACATTTTTCGAAAGAAGATATACAGATGGCCAACAGGCACAGGAAAAGATGTTCAACATCACTAATTATTAGGGAAATGCAAATCAACACTACAATGAGATATCACCTTACACCTGTTAGAATGGCTATAATTACCAAGACAAAAAATAACAAATGTTAGAGAGGATGTGGAGAAAAGGTAACCCTCATTCACTGCTGGTGGGAATGCAAACTGGTGCAGCCACTATGGAAAATAGTATGGAGATTTCTCAAAAAATTAAAAATAGAAATACCATACGATCCAGCTATCCCTCTACTGGGTGTTTATCCAAAGAACATGAAATCAACAATACCAAGAGATTTATGCACTCCTATGTTTATTGCAGCATTATTCACAATAGCCAAGATGTGGAAGCAACCCAAGTGCCCATCAACTGATGAATGGGTAAAGAAGATGTGGTATACATACCACATATATATACAATGGAATACTACTCAACCATAAAAAAGACAAAGTTGTCCCATTTGCAACAACATGGGTGGACCTTGAGGGTATTAAGTGAAATAAAACAGACAGAGAAAGACAAATACCATATGATTTCATTCATGTGTGGAAGATAAACAAACACAGGGATAGAGAGAACAGATTAGTGGTTACCAGAGAGGAAGAGGGTGAAGGGGTGGTGAAAGGGGTAAAAGGGCACATATGTATGGTGACAGATAAAAACTAGACTATGGGTGGTGAGCATGATGTAGTCTACACAGAAACTGATGTATAATAATGTACACCTGAAATTACATGTTATAAACCCAAATAAATAAATAAATTCCAAGTGAATTGTATATCTAAATATAAAAAGTAAAACAATAAAGATTGTAGAAAATAGCATCAGAGAATATCTTCAAGACCTTGAGGTTGGTAAACATTCTTAAACAGGACACAAAATGCCTCAACCATAAAGGAAAAGATTGATAAATTGGATAACAGTAAAATTAAGAATCTCTGTTTATGAAAAGACACCATTAAACAAGTAAAAAAGTAAGCCACAGAGGGATGGAAGGTATTTCCAGTAAACATAACTAACTAAAGAAAACCCTGTCCAGAATAATGAATTCCTACAAATCAAGAAGAAAAAGACATGCAGACCAATTTTTTAAATGGGCAGTAGACACGAACAGGGGTTTAATGAAAGAAGATATACAATTAGTCAATAAATATATGAATACTGTCTGACTTTATTAGTCATTGGGGGAATACACTTATCACTTTACATTTACCAGAATGGCTAAAATTAAACCTAGGATAACATGCACTGGCAGAGATGTGGAGCAACTGCAACTTGCGTGTGTTGCTGATGGGGGTATAAACTGGTGTGTTTACTTTGAAGAACTGGCTGTTATTATCTCTGCTACAGTTGACCCAGAAATTTCACTCCTCTTTATGTATGTATTCAACAGAACTGTGGACAAATGTTAACCAAAATCTACATACCAGGTTGTTCACAGCTGCACTATTCATAATAGCCCTAAAGTGGAAACAACACACATACCCATCAAGGGTGGAATGGATAAATAATTGTCCTATATTCAAACAATAGAATACAGCAGTACAAGTAAATGAAATATTGCTTCATACAACAACGTGGATGAGCCTAAAAACCATAATGTTGAACAAAAAACCCACAGACAAAGAATACCTATCCTATCTCATTGATACGAAGTTCAAAAACTAGGACAAGTGGCCTTGATGATAGAGGTCAGAGTGGTGGTTACCTCTGGAGGGGGGGCAGGGACCTGCTGGGGAACCCGGAATGTTCCATCTGGGCGGCAGTACCCAATTGTGTTCCCTTTGTGATAATTTAACAAACCGTGTTCTTATGATCTTCTACTGTTGTATATGTATGTTATATTTTGACTTTTTAAAATCAATTTAAAAACCCATAATCATATTCCAGTGTTCCCTCCCTAACATTATGCCCAGATAACTGTGATTCAGATATCGGGTGTTCCTAAACTATTGAGTTACACCTGTAGGCATTTTCTTAGTTTATTCTCCTACGTGGTATTTTACATGCCCTGGATTTAGATTTCACTAATTTAAATCTCAAGAGGAATCTTATTTCCAAGCTCGTGTGAAGTGCCTTTAGCTTCCATGTGGACAACAATGATTTTGTAAGGGATTAAGATTAAGACACTTGATAAATTGAGTTTATTGTGAATCTTCATTTTGGAAAATATGCTAGGTATAGACCATTTATTATTAGGACTTTCTCCAGCTGAAAATAGTGTTTGAAATGTTAAAATTAAATGAAGGAATTATATTGGTGATATTTATTCTCATTTTTTAGTTAAATGCTCTACAAGACCTTCATCCATTACCCAAGATAATTTTGGAATACAGGCAGGTAAGTTAATTTTTTTTTTCTGTAAGAAAGTTGGTGAGGAAGGAGAATCATATGTTACCATCTCTCTTCATAGAAGTCCATAATCACTGAAGTAGCCCTGACAGTGTTCTAAAGGGAATTTAGTTTGTTCAAGTTGGCCTTGTAGTAGCACTGCTTGCTTGTACCCTGACATCATTTTACTCAAGTCTGCAGTCAGCCCTGCTCGGCATTGTGAGTCAAAGGGCTCATAAATGGAAGCGGACTAATGAAAATATGGAAGAAAATATTTGGTGTGTCGTTATTGTGAGACTTCAATGTGAGTTAGACCTGCATCAGTACCAAGTTTAGAAGCCTCTCACAAGAGCCTCCTCCCTTTCCCCATTTCTAGGCCTGGCGAAATTACTCTGCAGCAGTGTTTTATCATCTCACATTAACGTTTACTGATTTATTGACATGCCTGCCTTCCTCTTCTAGCTCCTCATGTTTTCTCTGTTCATATACCTGACATTTGTTCTCTGTTGGTCGTGAACCACATTTACACGTTTTGCCATTGCTCACACCATTGGTCTGTTATTTACTGACCCTATGGCCTGCTGTCTTTGTCGGGGCTTGACAGCTGTTAGAGAGCCTAATGGTAGCAAATGGCCCTTTCTCCTTGAAGTAATGAAAGGATTGAAAGAGAACTGAAAGGGGCACCAGAGAGAACACTGGATGATGGGTATTTGGGAACTCTCCATTTATCTTTGCTACTTTTTGTGTAAAAAGTATTATTACAGAATAAAAAATTTATTTAAATGGGAGTAGGGTGACATCTTTCTCTGTAGATTATTGTTATTTAATTCTGGGTACCACATAAGGCCATTTCAGGCCCTCCTGGAGTCATCTGAGGTGACATCAGTGGCACATGCCCAGCACTCTCTGAAACAGATGCTTTTTCCTATTTAAACACTTAAAGAAAATGATGATTTTTCTCTTTGTAATCTAGGTTCACAAGATCAAGTCAACCTTTGTAGATGGATTACTCGCTTGCATGAAAAAGGTAACTGAACCAAAAAAAGATATTGTGACTAGGAATATGGTTTATACATGAGTTTAGATACATGTAGAATTTCTTTAAATTTTAGGCAGTGATGAAAAATTCTGATATTCTTGAGATTATGAACCATGATTTTGTTATTATTCAGGTCTCTTTATAGCATAAGTTGACATTATCCCTTAAAACCTTATATCTGTGTGGAAGCTCTGTGGCTGACCATGTGCTTTCACATCTATTATTGCATCTCTTCTCTCTAGTCATTTGAGGGTGATGTTGTTTTAGTTCACACATGGAGAGCCTGCAGTCAGAGATGTTCTGTGACTTGTCTGAGTCCACACAGCAAATGACAGCCCCTGTCTGGGATGCACAGCCCCACCTTGAGTGCATGCGGAGCCCCCCCATGACGCATTGGCCCCCTTCTCCCCATGCACAAGATTTTTAAGTGACATAAAGACCCACATGTCCTATTGCAGTTTCTGCGTGGGTTAGGGGAAAATCTCCTTCACCCACCCTGATCACACGTCAGGAGTTTCCTAACACCCAGGGACATTTTGGGGTTTGGGAGTTTAGGGCCAGTGGCTTGTGGACATCTGGAGGAGAGCAGTGAGTTTTGTGTGGTGTTGGCGAAGAGACTGAAGGGCCCAGCACGTTCTTGACCTCACATGACATTGTCAGAGCTTAAACTGATTCTTTTTAACTGATTAAGGGCTCCATCTCCTCTACCTGGAATCAGACTGGAACTGTGACTGGAAGACTCTCAGCCAAGCACCCTGTAAGTTAGCTCTCCTGTTAAATGCCGGTTTCCGGGCCTTGGAGTTGAAGTTTTGCCTACGTGTGTGTTTGCCTGTGCACTTTCTGTGTCTAAGAGAGGACCCCATACTGATGGATTGTGTTTTTTTCCCTTTATTCATTCAGCTAATACTTATTTAGCACATACTATGTTTTGGGAACACAGTAAAGGAACAAGACATGGTCCCTTCCCTCATGAGGTAATGAGGGCTTCTTCCCCATCCAGAGAGTCACACACACTGGTGCTGAGGGCAAAAGGGACACCCGCTTCCCACTCCCCTGTCTTTGTTTTCAGATTTGTACTGGACAGTTGGCTTCTGATTTCCAGAAATATGTTTAAGTATCTGATGCTCTGATGACCACCTCCATTTTTGGGTTGTTGTTCAAGAAAAAAGCTGTAAACGCCCTTGAGTTTATGATGCAGCTTTAAATACATGTAAAGCAATTGACTTTTAAAATGGCTATATGTTTTTGAATTAAAGATGACTCATTGCTAATTTCTCATTATAGAACAGCTCCTTAAGTACAGAAAAGAAATGTAAAAATACTAATAAAAGTCACTGATTATTCCACCATGCAGAATTAACTGGGGTTAACATCTTGGTTAACATTAATTTGGTTAACATCAGACTTTTTGCTAAGCACATGTATTTATAAAATACTGTTTGTCTACAAAAATAATACATTTCTACACATTGTTTTATGTTATGCTTTTTAATTTAATTTAAGATGTCTTGATATACATCAATAAATATTGATCTGAATCTATTTTTAGGTTTAAATATGCACTATATAATACATATACATATGAATCTTATGTTCATGGTAAAGAAATTCAAGTAGTGTAAAAGCTTATAGAACAAAAAAATGTAAGTCCTCTTTCCCTTCCCTTCATAATACATCTGTCTATTCCATGGGTCCCCTCTGTTAATAGTCTGGACTGCATCCTGCCAGGCGTTCATCTGGCCCTGTACTGGTATGGTATACCTAGTGCACCCAGGCAGAAGAGGGGGTGACTGTGTGAGGAGGAGAAAGAGGGGCTGAGACTGGGTGGCCTTGCACAGGGATGTGCAGGAGCTGTTGCCTTTTGGTGCAGGACCCACTTGAGGACTCGAGGCTCTCGAATCTCAGGCTCTCTCTGGCTTCACACCCACTCTAGGGAAGTCTTATTTTGGACATCCCACTTTAGAGAGCTCTTCTGTGGTCTTTATCCAGCTGACTAATACTAATACTAGTATTATTAGTACTAGTATTAATAATATCTCATCTGAAAGCAGGTGCTGCTGTTATACTGTCCTTCAGTTCTTTTCTCCACCTACTCTGCCCACTGCACACTTTCTCTTAGTTGATACTGCCTCTCATGGAGGAGTTATTTAGGAATTATAATGTGAAAACTCACTTTTTATGGAGGTCCTTTCTTTTGTCTGTATGGAGTTATAAGTTCCCATTTTCTATTACATTTCCAGATTAATCTCTTGCTATGCTTTATTCTCTTCCAGAAATTTCTAACGTCTCTGGTTTGTGGGTAGCATTCCTCCCAGGTTTTCAGTGATGCTCTAGTTTTACTTATTTATTTTTCTATTATTTCAATTGAACTTTTGGAAAGAGGAGATGTGAACATAAAGTGTACGCTCAGCCACCACCTTTAAGTGGAAGCCTACATCATGATTTTATTAGCTGCATTATACTCCACTTAATAGCTGTTCCTATTGATGGTCATTTAGAGTGTTTTCAGTTTTAATTATTTTATACAGAGATACCATAAACATACTTGTACATATATTTTTGGTTTGTTTTTCTGATGATTTCCGCAGCATAAATTGCCAGAGATGGAATTTCCGAGTCAAAGTATATGTGTATTTTTAAGGCTTTACATTGCTAAATTGTCCTCCAGAAAAAAAAATTATTTTACATTCTCACCAAACAATATGTGAAATGCTTGGTCCTCTACATCCTTACCAATACAAGGAGTTTTCATTTTGGTTACTATTTCCTGACTTGTTTTTTAAATTTCCATTCCTCTAAAAATTAAGTTAGTGAGATTGACTGTATAAAATAATTATTCTTCTATGAACTGTCTGTTCATGTCATTTGCCCATTTCTCTGAAGGATGTATATTTTTTTCCTATAGATATAGAAAAGCCCTTTATATGATAAAGATTAACCCTTTGTAAAATGTTGAATTATTTTTCTCATCTTTCAATGTTTTAAATATATATTCTGTTTGCCATACTTAAAATGGCTTTTTTATTATACAAATAATATATGATAGTTGTAAAGAATTCAAACAATAGATAAAAATATAAATAACAAAGTAAAAGTCACCTGAAACTCCACAGCCCTGCTATAATCATCATTAACATTTTGATGACCATCGTCTAACTTATCTCTTTTTTTAATTGCAGTAACATTGGTTTATATAATTTATCTCTTTATGCACACACAAACACACACACACACACTTACATGAATGGGATTGCATCATATATGTTGTTTTTATTGTAGACACTCTGTCACCACACCCATATCTCAGCCCCCACCCTTAATCCCAGTGCCCATGTAAGCAGCCTAGTGTGTACATTCATATATTCCTCTGTATTATACAGACCCATACCTATCTACACATATACACAAGGAGACATGTAATAGCTTTGTCATTATCTATTTTTCAGAATTAGATTTTTATTTTTCTGCCTCTTGCTTTTCTCTCTCAGCAACAGCTCGTGGAATCCCTGAAGGTCATTTGACAGAGTCCCATTTCAATCTTGTCATTGCATGTTCTGCTTGCTCTAGACGTTCCTCTGCTGGTGCATGTGCTTCATGTCCAGTTCTTTCTCTCTAAAAGCAAAGCTGCAATAAGCATCATGCACATATGTCCTGGTGTATTGGTACTTGTATTTTTGTCTGATAGTTTATCAGGTATGGAATTACTGGATCAAAGAATATTGCATTTTTACTTTTAATAGCTGTTATTAGATTGCCTTCCAAAATGGTTTCAGCTTTTGACATTGCCATGAGCAGTGTCTGTACTGAAGTGGCGTTTTAGAAAGGCTTTCCTCAGCTCCAGGATTATTTAAATATTCACCTCTGTTTTCATGTAAAACTTTTCTGCTTTCATTTTTGTCACGTGTAAAACTTGAATTCAGCTGTACAATTTAACCAGATACTATGTGGGTTACATGATGGTGCCATAAAATGGCTAGAGCTTGAATTACATTTTTTTCGTTTCAAGCATACAAAATACACTTGATTAATATTTTTAAAAATCAGATTATAACTGTTTTTCAACATTTCTAGAAAGTTAGTTTCTTACACACACACCCTCCCAAGAGAAAGTTATTGCTATAATGCGTTTACTGAAGCTCATTACCATCTACCTTTGTGTTCTGTTTCATGGTTATTTCTGATATTAGGAAAATGTAAAAAGTTTTTGTTTTTTGATTCACCTGCTTCTTTCCCATATTTTGACATTTTAATGAAGCATTAACAGGTTATGATTTACTTAAGAACTGTGAGACAATAATTGATTCAATTGATTCAACTCATGTCTCAGTAATATATATACAAAATAAATATGTTAGGGCATTTTTATAATAGCTGTTTTAAAGTCTTTATTAGATAATGCCAACATCTATATCATCTTGTCATTGGTGTCTTTTGATTGTTTTTTCCCATGTGATTTGAGATTTTCCTGCTTTTTCATGTGTCTAGTAATTTTGGATTGTATCCTGGACATTTTGAATATTGTGTTTTGAGAGTCTGCATCTTGTATAGAAATCCTGTTAAAATGTTGATATTTTTGTTTTAGTAGGCAATCAACCTGGTTAGGTTCAGGCTGCAAGTTGTGTCCTGCCTTCCATGAGCTGTGGTTCCAATGTATGCTCAGTTTTCAAAGCCTTTGCTGTGCTATTCAGGTATTCTCAAATGATGGCCACCCAGTGGTCAGTCTGGAATTGAGTCATAGTCTGTTAGTTCAGTTCTCAAAGTCTTTGGTATGCCCCTTAGGATGATATCTACACATGTGCAACTGGGAGCTGAGCCCAGTGGTTTATAAACAACTCTACAGTATCGTTTTCCCAGTCTCCTCCCTCTTTGTGGTCTCCCTAGTTAATTTCTGGTTCTTTGGTGTTCTCTTTTTTTGGTCTTCTAGCCAGAAACCTCAAGCCTTAGTAATCCTATTCTGCCGCATATTTCATGCCACTGCCCCATGTCCAGAGGACCAAGAGGAAGAAATGATAAATTTACTACCTGTTGGGTAGTACTTCAAATTTTGGTCTGCTTCTCCAGTCTGCCTGCTGCTATTAATTTATCAAAATCTTCAAATTGCTGCCCTATGCATTCTGTCCGGTTTTTACAGCTGCGTTCAGTGGAGTATGCTTACAGTATCTTACCAAGAATAGGAACCTCAACTCCATTCTTTAACAGCTTCATTGAGGTATAAGTGACATACAATAAACTTCATATATCACAAACAATTTGATAGGTTTTGACTTGTGTATTTGACTGTGAAACCATCACCACAATCAAGATAGTGAACATATCCATCACCCCCAAAAACATCCTTGTGCCCCTTTGTAATCTCTCCCTTCCCCACCCCCACCTTCACCCATGTCTTCAGGCAACCACTGCCTTGCTTTTTGTCACTATAGATTAGTTTGCATTTTCTGGAAACTTATATAAATGGAATCCCACAGTAAGTACTCTTTTTTGTCTGATTCTTTCAGTCAGCATTGTTATTTTGAAATTCATCCACGTTCTTCTGTTTCAACAGTTCATTCATTTTTATTGCTGGTTAGTATTCCATTGAGTCTGTGTATACAATTTGTTTATAAATTCACTTGTTGATCAATATTTGGGTTGTTTGCAGTTCTGGGATATTCTCCAGTGTGGGTTATTACTGTGCACATTCATGCACAGTCCTGATGGGGACATATACCTTGTTTTCTCTTGGGTAAATACCAAGGAGTGGAACAGCTGGGTCATATGGTAGGTATATGTTTCAC